CCATGACTTCCCTGTGTGTCCACTACAGACTCTTGTGGTATGCCATGACTCCCCTTGTGTCAACTACTGGCTCTTGTGGTATGCCATGACTCCCCTGGTGTGTCAACTACAGACTCTTGTGGTATGCCATGACTCCCCAGGTGTCCACTACAGGCTCTTGTGGTATGCCATGACTCCCCTGTGTGTCCACTACAGGCTCGTGTGGTATGCCATGACTCCCCTGTGTGTCAACTACAGGCTCTTGTGGTATGCCATGACTCATGACTACCTCTTGTGTATGCCAACTCCCCAGGTGTCAAATACAGACTCTTGTGGTATGCCATGACTTCCCTGTGTGTCCACTACAGGCTCGTGTGGTATGCCATGACTCCCCTGTGTGTCCACTACAGGCTCGTGTGGTATGCCATGACTCCCCTGTGTGTCAACTACTGCCTCTTGTGGAATGCCATGACTCCCCTGTGTGTCAACTACTGGCTCTTGTGGTATGCCATGACTCCCTGTGTGTCCACTACAGACTCTTGTGGTATGCCATGACTCCCCTGTGTGTCAACTACTGGCTCTTGTGGTATGCCATGACTCCCCTGTGTGTCAACTACAGACTCTTGTGGTATGCCATGACTCCCCTGTGTGTCAACTACAGACTCTTGTGGAATGCCATGACTCCCCTGTGTGTCAACTACAAGCTCTTGTAGTATGCCATGACTCCCCTGTGTGTCCACTACAGACTCTTGTGGTATGCCATGACTCCCCCAGGTGTCAAGTACAGACGCTTGTGGTATGCCACAACTCCTCCCGGGTACAGACGCTTGCCCAACTCTTTCACTGTCCGACCATCCTATATATATATAGTCCCCAACTCTTTCACTGTCCGACCATCCTTGTCCTCGACTCTTTCACTGTCCGACCATCCTAGTCCCCAACTCTTTCACAGTCCGACCATCCTAGTCCCCAACAATTTCACGGTCCAACCATCCTTGTCCCCAACCCTTTCACTGTCCGACCATCCTAGTCCCCAACTCTTTCACTGTCCGACCATCCTATTATATATATATATATAGTCCCCAACTCTTTTCACTGTCCGACCATCCTAGTCCCCAACTCTTTCACTGTCCGACCATCCTAGTCCCCAACTCTTTCACTGTCCTGTCCCGACCATCCTAGTCCCCAACTCTTTCACTGTCCGACCATCCTAGTCATATCTAGTCCTGTCCGACTCTTTCACCCAACTCTTTCACTCCGACCATCCTAGTCCCCAAGTCTAGTCCCCAACTCTTTCACTGTCCGACCATCCTAGTCCCCAACTCGACTCTTTCAGTCCCAACCCCACTGTCCCCATCCTAACCCCAACTCTTTCACTGTCCGACCATCCTATATATATATATATCCGACCATCCCAGTCCCCAACTCTTTTCACTGTCCGACCATCCTAGTCCCTCTAGTCCCAACTCTTTCACTCTTTCACTGTCCGACCATCCTAGTCCCCAACTCTTTCACTGTCCGACCATCCTAGTCCCCAACTCTTTCACTGTCCCCAACCATCCCTAGTCCCCAACTCTCTTTCACTGTCCGACCATCCTATATAGTCCCCAACTCTTTCACTGTCCGACCATCCTAGTCCCCCCAACTCTTTCACTGTCCGACCATCCTAGTCCTCATACTCTTTCACTGTCCCACCATCCTAGTCCCCAACTCTTTCACTGTCCGACCATCCGACCATCCTAGTCCCCAACTCTTTCACTGTCCGACCATCCTAGTCCCCAACTCTTTCACTGTCCGACCATCCTAGTCCCCAACTCTTTCACTGTCCGACCATCCTAGTCCCCAACTCTTTCACTGTCCCAGTCCCCAACTCTTTTCCTGTCCGACCATCCCCAACTATATATAGTCCCCAACTCTTTCCTGTCCGACCATCCTTCCCAACTCTTTCACTGTCCCCACCATCCTAGTCCCCAACTCTTTCACTGTCCCACCATCCTAGTCCTCAACTCTTTCACTGTCCGACCATCCTATATATATATAGTCCCCAACTCTTTTTCACTGTCCCATATAGTCCCCAACTCTTTCACTGTCCGACCATCCTAGTCCCCAACTCTTTCACTGTCCGACCATCCTAGTCCCCAACTCTTTCACTGTCCCACCATCCTAGTCTTTCACTGTCCGACCATAACTCTTTCACTGTCCGACCATCCTAGTCCCCAACTCTTTCACACTGTCCGACCATCCTAGTCCCCAACTCTTTCACTGTCCGACCATCCTAGTCCCCAACTCTTTCACTGTCCGACCATCCTAGTCCCCAACTCTTTCACTGTCCGACCATCCTAGTCCCCAACTCTTTCACTGTCCGACCATCCTATATATATATATAGAGTATATATATATATATATATATATAGTCCCAACTCTTTCACTGTCCGACCATCCTAGTCCCCAACTCTTTCACAGTCCGTCCATCCTAGTCCCCACCATCCTAGTCCCCAACTCTTTCCACAGTCCGACCATCCTGTCCCCTCTTTCACTCTTTCACTGTCCGACCATCCTATCCTCAACTCTTTCACTGTCCGACCATATATATAGTCCCCAACTCTTTCACTGTCCGACCATCCTAGTCCTCAACTCTTTCACTGTCCGACCATCCTAGTCCCCAACTCTTTCACTGTCCGACCATCCTAGTCCCCAACTCTTTCACTGTCCGACATCCTGTCCCACCATCTTTCACTTTCACTGTCCGACCATCCTAGTCCCCAACTCTTTCACTGTCCGACCATCCTAGTCTTTCCTGTCTCTTTCACTGTCCGACCATCCTAGTCCCCAACTCTTTCACTGTCCGACCATCCTAGTCCCCAACTCTTTCACTGTCCGACCATCCTAGTCCCCAACTCTTTCACTGTCCGACCATCCTAGTCCCCAACTCTTTCACTGTCCGACCATCCTAGTCCCCAACTCTTTCACTGTCCGACCATCCTATATATATATCACTGTCCCCATCCTATATCCATAATTAAGCCACTCTTTCACTGTCCGACCATCCTAGTCCCCAACTCTTTCACTGTCCGACCATCCTAGTCCCCAACTCTTTCACTGTCACTGTCTCATCCCCATCCTAGTCCCCAACTCTTTCACTGTCCGACCATCCTAGTCCCCAACTCTTTCACTGTCCGACCATCCTAGTCCCCAACTCTTTCACTGTCCCACCATCCTAGTATCTCTTTCACTATATATAGTCCCCATCCTATTTCACTATCCGATATCCGTAGTTCACTCTCCTGTCCGACCATCCTAGTCCCCGACTCTTTCACTGTCCGACCATCCTAGTCCCCAACTCTTTCACTGTCCGACCATCCTAGTCCCCAACTCTTTCACAGTCCGACCATCCTAGTCCCCAACTCTTTCACTGTCCGACCATCCTAGTCCCCAACTCTTTCACCATCCTAGTCCCCAACTCTTTCACTGTCCGACCATCCTAGTCCCCAACTCTTTCACTGTCCTGACCATCCTATCCTAGTCCCCAACTCTTTCACTGTCCGACCATCCTAGTCCCCAACTCTTTCACTGTCCGACCATCCTAGTCACTCTCTTTCACTGTCCGACCATCCTAGTCCCCAACTCTTTCACTGTCCGACCATCCTAGTCCCCAACTCTTTCACTGTCCGACCATCCTAGTCCCCAACTCTTTCACTGTCCGACCATCCTAGTCCCCAACTCTTTCACTGTCCGACCATCCTAGTCCCCAACTCTTTCACTGTCCGACCATCCTAGTCCCCAACTCTTTCACTGTCCGACCATCCTAGTCCCCAAATCTTTCACAGTCCGACCATCCTAGTCCCCGACTCTTTCACTGTCTGACAATCCTAGTCCCCAACACCTGTATGTCAGACTTATCCCAGTCCCCAACACCTATGTCAGACTTATCCCAGTCCCCAACACCTATGTCAGACTTATCCCAGTCCCCAACATCTGTATGTCAGACTTATCTCAGTCCCCACACCTATGTCCCCCTGTCACACTGGTACTCAGTCCCCACACTGGTACTAGTTGTGTGTGACAATCGCCGAGTGTTACCTCGATGTAGTGGTGGACGGTCGTGGTGGAGGCGTAATTGTTTACAAGTCCAAAGTCGACTATTACTGGTTCATCTTCATCTATCTACAGTCAGAGCATGATGCTGACGTATGACTCTAATGCTGGTCGTGCAATCAAGCTGTTCAGATGTACTGCTTTGGTTGGGCATGCACGGGGAGGCCCATGGGTCAATAATGACATTGCTCTAGATTGTTCAAACATGACGTGTCCATATCCGGCCTCAGTTCACTTGAGTCCACGGTTTAAATGCACAACAAAATTAAGCATGTACAGCTGGAAATAATTTATGCACGTTTAATATTTAACCAAAAGGTATTGATTTGTTTGGTTGATGTTGACATGAGATTGAAAATAGTTGGCCTACCTCACCTAGTTCGTTACAGTTTCTTCCCCCCTCCTGTGCAACATCGGGTGGAAACACCTGCTCAGCTGATCCACCGGAATATTAACTATGGCCCACAGAACTGGTCGAGTAAAGAAATAGCCAGTGGAATAGTAGTGTTCCGATACATGGCCCGAGCACGTCGTATATATAACCTCGGATAGTCAGGCTCGCTGACTTGGTTGACACATACCATCAGATCGATGCTCGTGCTCTTGATCGATGCTCGTGCTCTTGATCACTGCATATCTGCTCCAGACTCGATTATTTACCGACCGCCCCCATATAACTGGAATATTGCTGAGTGCGGCGTAAAACTAAACTCACTCACTCTTTATTTACAGACCGCCCCCATATAACTGTAATATTGCTGAGTGCGGCGTTAAACTAAACTCACTCACTCTTATAAACATTTAATGCTCTCTGAAATAAAACATTCGTATTCTGCCTGAGGGCGTGTTGACCTGACTACATCAGGCAGTCTATACAGAACGGATATGTGTGAGGAGGGTATAGATAACAAATGTACATAACAGAGTTTGTTCCATCAACATTAACCACCACTTTAATCATCATCATCAGACATCATATGTCCAAAACCAAATAGTCAAATGTTTCCAGGGTGGTCATTATACAGACTGTACGTTATGTGTGCGCGAGTATGACCTACGTCAGGTGCCGAGCCCTTGTGAGGGGTATTCCGGAAGTGCAGTAGTACAGTTCTGTTGGTGTCGTCTGGTACACGAATGCCATTGTTGAAACTTTGTTATCTTGCATGTGAAAAGTATAAGCTTCTTAATTCACCTGTAAGCAACATCTGTTCAATGTTGCCTTTTGAACCTGAAAGAGAATTACAGGTGTTACCATATATAGAACAGGTGTTTTCCCAAATGTCACCTTGACCCCTTGAGACCACATCAGGATACAGTGTATGTGGTTCACATGGGCGAAGCATGATCGGATAAAGGGTTTTCATTCTATTAATAACTTATTAATGAAATCTGAAAACAACATTATAAAATCATTTTTTTTCAAATTAGAACAGATAGAATGACTGTCCAATTAAAAACGATCCATATGGTATGCAAAACCATTTTCGCGATTACACCAGCTTTAGATCTGACCGCAATGAATTTGCAAATAAGGTGGCCCCACAAACATGAATTACAATTTTGGAAATCAAATCATTTATATTTCGTTTAAAATGTTGCTGATACGGGTTCGTCTGACGAAATCGATCGCGTTGGAAATATATTTAAAATTGCACGCAAACACATTAATTGTACCTGAGTTCTGAACTCCTTACGGTGCCCCGACTACGTCACACCATGAGATCACGCCATTAACAAATGTCATCAGCTGACACTGAGCTTGTAAACACACTGCACGATCTTACCGGTCCGCCACGTGACAATCGTGGGTAGCGCATGCCTTCACTCAGATTAATATTTTCGCTTAGCGAACATATCAATGCTGACAAATTGCGAGTGAGTACAGGACGGAGGAAGAACGACATTTGACCTCTTTGTGCTGAAGGGAGAATCGGCTGTAGACAAAACAGGCTTCTGGCTGTCCGTGACTACACATTCGCTAACATTGCCATAACCGGATACAAAGATTTCCTAATTAGGTAATTATCTCCTTCTATTGATGTCTTATTACAGGTTATTTCAAACTATATGCCCACAACGCGTATCACCCTTCGTTCCTCATTGTCATGTTGGTGCATTGAGATTTAGATTGGTTTGGATATTAGCATATTATTACATGGCGAGCCTGTGTGGTAATACACGGTCCCTACCAACACAAGCACACTCAGCGGCCTACAAGACGGACTCCAGCCAATGTTGCTGAACATGACTGTCGTTTTCAAGTAAGATTTCTAGCAAACATCACAACGTGGAATTGATAAATGCACAAGAGAAGCAGACGGCAGAAGCTCTCTACTCAGGAGCGTGCAGAATTCTATGACGTTTCCGGTTCTAAATGCTCTTCCGTCGAAGTGTCTGTAGAATGGTTTGGCTTATGATTCCATTGGTGTTTGAAATTTACCTGACTGTTCTAATATTATATTCAGAATTAGATCACCTTGCAGTAGACAAAGCACCACTGTCATTGTTTTGTGTTCAGGAGAATCTAAACTCGTATCACATCCTAAGTGGATTGGTATCTGTACAGTAGAAGTCTCGCACTGTGATAAACTGCTGCTCGTAAAGGATTTAAAGAAAATTATGTTTTGTTTTAATTTTTGTTATAGGGAAGGCAACCATTATAAGTATTACCCAGTTTGGGCAGCAGATGAATGTTTAATGGTGATATTGTTGTTTGAAATTTTTAAAAACTGGAAATTAAGCAGGGAGTGAAGGTGATAGTGCAGTGTCATGTGTGGGGCGGAGATATGCTGGTGTGAAGCATTGCGTTGTCTCTTAGCTATGCCAGGATGTGCTGCTGAAGTTGTTTGGTGCTGTGTCCTTAGTCAGTGCCAGGATGTGCTGTTGGAAGGTCTGAGCTTTAGTATGATTATTATTGTCAATGCCAAATTATCAACCTATCATTTCTATCTTTCCATCACAATTTTAACATATTTTCTCACATTCCAAAATTTGATATTCCCAATAAACGTCTGTGCAATTTACTACTTGGTTTCAGAAATTTACAAAATTGTGTTACCTTTTTTTAGGACTAATATATCTTTTGAAAGGGTGACTTGCATTGCATTGACAACAGGAAAAAGACAGAGGAAAGGCTTACATACTTAAATTTTAAGGGACACTGATCTTGAGCAATTCTCCAGGACTGGTTGTTTCTTTCGTAATTGCTTTTCCCCCTGCGACTACCCGGATGATATCCCAGAATTCTTGACTGGGTTGCAAACTCTGCTGCGTCACCTACATTGGTCAGTAAAGATGAACTGCATTTTAGTCTTGGAAATAAGTGGAAAATATAGTCATCTTTTCTACCTATTGATATTTCCATCTTTCTTATGATAACAAATGAAACATTTCGAACTTCATCTGCAATTGGTGAAAAATGTTAGAATTGAAAGAAAACAAAGTCAAGGTACGTGTTTATATTTTTGCCTCATAATCCTGGCATATTTAGGTTATCATTATATTTGTAAGCACTTTGGAACTTCATAAAAAAGTACACAATCTGTTTTAGTGAATTTTTAAAATGACTAATATCTAGACGTTTTATTGATTGCCAAAGTGAATTATATTTCACACACACACATGCCCTAAGTGCGACCTAGCGCATGTTGTCTGTCTTGCATCGAAGAACTTCACGTTGAAAAAAAGTGAAGTGAATGATTTTGTTGAATGCTACAACAAATGAATGAAAACAGAATACAAATATCAAAATGAAAATAGGCTAAAGTTATACTGATAGCAATAAGATCCAGAGGAGGGGGGGTGCACATCCCCCCTTTTGTGCTGAGAGTTTGTTGAATGACCATTGAAACTCGGGTGAAAATGAGTGTGCACCCCTCCTTTTCTCAATAGTAACCACCCTTGCTATTACCTTGTTCAGTATCTACATGAAGGAACGATATGCCATTAATCTGTAGCTGACAAAGAAACCCGTTCATTGTCATGTGTCTTCTAACAGTCGGGCACTTTATGACATCTATATTTAATCCGTGAGCACATTATGTTTATTTAGATGTTGTTTAAAAGATGTGTATCTTGTCCCCAGCATGCATGTCACCCACAGATATATCTCATTACACATCTATTTCCGCCACTACATGCACCACAACAGGTGAGTTGGGGACAGCTATTGTTGTGTCGGTTAATATTTAAACTGTTTTCATCATACTAGTAATGAAAGATGTACTGCAATAATTATTGCCCTCTTTATATGTGACCGAGTTATTGGCTACTGCATCTACTTCTCTCCATCAAATCAGCAGGAAGCAGCCTCAATGTTAGACATCACTATATCACTCACAAACATCTGTGAAATGGATGGAAGCCGTTGTGAAGTTTGATTTGTGGCAATTCTAGAATGGACCATGAATTTGACATCCATTTTAAATTGAATTATGCCACCTTTTAAACACCAATGCCTCAATGACTGATGCCAATGACCATTCCCCAACTTCTAAGGTTCTTACAGAGACCACAGTTAATTGAGTATTCAGCCACACACACCCCACACACCCTCCCATAAACATAACTAGTTGTACTTACTAAAGAAAGGCCAGACGTCCTGCAGACGGTAATTTTGAGAACACGGTCTTCAGCCTTTTGCCACACTATTGTGGTGTTATTGCGAGCAATAAAATTCTTAGTTACCTCAGATCAGCTCAATGGGATTGAGCTCAGTGCCGTACTGGTGTACGCAGAACTATGTGGCCTTGTTTTGCAGCTAGTTCATCAGTGATGTACTGGATTGGCTTTTTGTGCTGCCAGATTTTTCCATGAGCTGGGGCTTTGTTTCTGATTGCCTGTAAGGCACGTTACAGAAAGTGAGAACATCCTGCAACCGAGCCTTGAGATTGCTCATGGTGGGTGTGATGGTACCAGGGACATGCAGGTTATGGCAACTTGCGTTATCCAAAATGATAATGCTTGGTTTGTCCAGCTGCGGTAAAAGCCGATGTTCGAACCAATCTAAAAATACCTACCCATTCATTTCGCTATGGTTATCACCATCAGATTTCTTGGCCTCAGAAACAAAGCCACAACCCCCAATCAGTCCCTTGCTATGGTACCAGCATGCCTGATGGTAACAGGGGTGCCTTAGAACAATCTGAAGGAAGCCACATCCGATCAGTTGGGTGATTTTTATTACACCAGGTTTCATCAAGGTATTCCCCATATGACTCTTGACATTTCCCCATCTTGACATTTCCCACACCTGTTTTCTAACCAGTAGGACAATTCCCCACTCATAAAATTGTAGTGCGATAGATGCAGTGGGATTAACTAATGTGTGCATTATGTGTATTCACTTGTTAGGGGCGATGGGATTAACTAATCTGTATGTTAGGGGTATGTTGGTCAGTAAGGTCACTAGAATGTTTTTATAATGATTGTCCTAGTGGGGAATTGTCCTGATGGGGAAAAGTCCGTACACCATAATTTGAAACCCCAAATTGCGGTATTCTTCATCTGTTCTGATATAGGCTGATCGCATGGACAGGATTGTGTACTTTCCTCTATACACAGCCAGGGCTCCAGATAAGGGCTGTATCGGCGTATGTACGGATAAAAAATATGCACGATACGGTAGGAAATAATTTAGAAACAGTAGCAGATACGCACTACAGCAATGGTGTATGGTCTTAGAATCATTTACAGACGTATTTATCTGAAAAAAGTATTGTTTTATAGTTTTTTACCTGTTTACACAAGAGTAGCAATGTTGTGGTGCATATATGAAACGAAACACAAGATCACATACTCCATAAAATTCAATTCCGTACTCTAAAAGTTTTTCCAGTACTCCTATATTTAAAAAATAAGGAGTACATACTCCTGATGTTGAAAAATTATCTGGTGCCCTGCACAGCTCTGTTTTCTCCTCTTTTGTCGTACCTGAACCCCATTTCTACCAGAGTTACAATAAGTGTTGTTTTCGAGATATTTATTATATCTTTGGTCTCATCTTGTATTTTAGCACACGTCGGTGGGATTTTGCGTTCAGTTTATAAACTGCACGGCGTATGACACCCTTATCAAAGCTATCCAGTTTGTGTTTCCTACCTGGTTTTGATACATACATGTATCATACATGTGCTTTTATCTTGTGTCAAATTCATCATATTGATATTGAAGCCAAAAAGCATTTTCCAAGCATTTCTGGCCTTACTTTAGTTCCTACTAAAGGTTCAGTACCCTTGTCAGTATCAACACACAAAGGGATAGCTTTATCAAAGACTGTCACTCTGTATTGTTATTATATTTCATTCCAAATGTTTCTCTCTCGCCTTAAACCATTTATGGCTTTCTTTCAACAGAATTATCAAAATATAATACAAACAAAAAGTATGGGAACACCCTAAAATTTGATAGTCATACATAAACTTAAACGTGGTGAGGTCATTTATACTCTAAGGTAAATGCAACATTTTGTGTGCTTAATGGGCACTATAAACAACATGTTGGAACATGCAGTGAAGCAACTGATTCAGTATTTGTTGAGTTTGAGTGAAATGAAACATTGTCAGAAACAGCGAAAAAGAAGGGTGCTGAAACACACCAACGCCATGTTTGATTCAAACGCCCAAACACAACAGCCTAGTGCATGTAGAAGACCAGGGTAGTACAGTATACCCTGGTTTTAATGCCACCGTTTGTCCAGGAGAAAATATGGTATTATATCCATGGTGGCATAACCAGGTAGGACAGTTAGAGGCCCTATTCAATCAACAAGGTAACTGAGCTGATGTCTCCTGTAATGAACCTTGAATG